TTTGCTTAATAAGAATATGTGCAACCATCTTATTTTGTGTATGGTCAACCAAGTTCATTGTGTTGTCGCCTAACAACCAGATAATTTAACACGAAAAGGCACTACCATTATAATGGCTGTATTTTAAACACACTTCTATGTTCTTGGACAAATATACAAAAAAGCGAGCTACTGGTAGGTAATGAAATTAACAAAACAAAATGGAAAGTGTCAGTTGTGTAAAACATTTGATTAAAGGATCTCAAATCCTTTCCATAACCAACAAGTAATACAAATTGAGTCCAATATTCTACATTAGTTTGGACATTAACCTTATACTGTATTCATAATGCATTTTCAGAGAAAACTAGGGATTTAATGAAGAGAGATTTGCCCTAATTTATCACAATCAACCGTTTATGTCAAGCGTGCTTTAGGACTTAGCTTTCCGAGTGCCAAAAGTACAGGAAATGTTTTGTAACTCTGGTAAGAATAATAAAATATTTTGTTCATGAAAGGTTTGTATGAGACTTAATTATAGCAACATTGCAGTTAACAGCAAAAGAATAAGCAGGAGGTGCATGAATTAAGGCATGGATTTGAAAGACATGTTTGACTACAACATACACTGCAGGAGTACCCAAAATGTATTTTTGTAAGGCCTAGGTCCTGCAGGGTTTAAAAGTACATTTAAGTAATTCTGTTCCAAAGTTTCACAATGTCTAAGAGAGGGCTAAGTAGTGGCAAATGAGTAATTAATGCAGCCATCCAGGACAGAATTTTGAAACACCTGCTAGATAGATTTTGGGAAGTTTAACACATGAAAGCCAACCTGAATATACTGAAGAGTGATCATTTCTGCTTGAAATATTATAGTCATTTGTTTATGAAAAAAAGTTAACATCTTATGAGAAAGTTCAAAATCTGTATTTGTGAACAATTTTGCCATAATTCCTGCTTAGATCAAGATTTTGGCATTTTGCATTTGTCTGTATCGGAATTAGTGACCTAATAACATATGAAAAGTTAGAAATGAGAAGGCCTTTCTCACAGAAGCTGTGAATACTAGTAAGGTATTCGTGGACAATCTTAAAAGCAGTTTTCCCATGAAGGTATTTTTGACCCAAGTCTTCAATTCAGCTGACTATCTTGGACTCAAGTACCATCTGATGGAAGACAACCATAAGAAAACATGCTGCATTCTTTTACTTTAGGTAAAGTCAAATAGAGGAACTGTTCATGGCAGATGTATGCACAAGCACATTTTCCAAGCACCCTAAAAAGAACATTGCACAGAAAGCAGAAAACAAGACTTATTACACTGACTGATACACACAAATTGTAAAATTCTTTCAAGTTAAGGTTGTCAGCTTTTTGGCATATGAAGTTAAAATATACGGATTACTCACAAATTTAGTTAGGGTCCAGAAAAATAGTATGTTTTTCAGAGACGGTACAAAATACAGTCCTAGTTGTACTCTTTTCCTATTCATTAAACAAATACATAATAAGGTGGTTTGAACTTGAAATACACTGAATAATTTAAAAAAGTAACAAAATTATTTTACAGATAGGCAGATACTTGACAGAAGACAAATTCCTTCTAGCTATTTAGAGAGGTGAATTATTAATCATCAAGGTATATCATTACAAAATGCATTACATAATGCATTTATAGCACAAAATACAAAATAAACTCATATTAAGAGCAATTCAATAGATTTTAAGGAGAAGTATCACTTCCATTGTTCATTTTTTATTTACATGCATTAATTCATCTACGGTTAAAAAACAAAGTTGCAGAATGTTTGGTTACGTACCATAAATAGATCATATTGCTGATAAACCGTTGTCTTAAAGCCCTTTTATCAAAATCCTTCCATCCACAAATGTAATGTGTAAAACACAGTTCCTATTCTGACAAACATGAACTTAACAGTTGTCTGCTTTACAAAAATATAAATAGGACAGCTAAAAACAGTCTTGATGTGAAACAAGGAATAGCCTTTCATTCAAGTAAAGAATAAGTTATAAATAACATGGTGGGTACATGATTTATCTAACCTTAAACACTAGTCATCCCCAAAACAAGGTTCAGCAGTGATTTTCTCATTTTCTTGTATATGAAGTGTTAAAAGATTAGGTTAGGAGCACAATTTGTCTACCCTGCTGGGGGTATCAGATGAATCCCCCACAATCCCCTGTGGTAATGCAATCCCAGAACCAACCAAACAACCTCTTCACCCAAACAAAACGACAAGCTGGACAAACAGACGACACGGCTCCTGCATCCCTTAATACAAGAATGACACAAAATTAAATGACAACAGAATAAACAATTAAAAAAAAAAACTTGGGCAGAAACAAGTTCAAAACTTGCTGAATGGCTTAAAAATTCCTATTTTGAAACAAAGCAATTTTGTCCAGTGTGGTACAAAACCCATAAAATAGTTCAAGACCCAATCTAGAGCAGATAAAAAAAATACGAGGCAGGAACAAACATGGTGACATTTTTTTTCTTAAATTATTTACCACATAAAATGTTCCACTCCCAGATATGGAAGTAAAAAAGGACAAACCTTGATTCCTGGGATTTCTTAAGATTTTGCAGTTTTTTAAAAAAAGAATGTGCATATAAAGGGTTTTGGGTTACTAAAACCAGAACTCTGCATAGATTAATTTTGACAGTACAAGAACTGCAAGAAATTAATAGCCTATGACAGTTCTTACAGGAGATCATACTTCCACATATATGTGAAGATTACCACAGCTTTACAAATACCACTACTAACTGCATAGTTTTGCCATTCTTGACATCTGTTTAAAAAGACGAAGAGGTAACTTTCAGCACTGCAGTATCCAGCATTGTAGGTACACATTACAACAATACTTAAAAAGCATCAACAAGGGAAGCACCTCATTATATTTAACAAATAAAGGTGTTTCTAATATTCCTTAATTCTTCATAATACTCCATAATCTGTTATAATCTATATTATAATTGCACTACCAGTTTATTTTGCTAACATTTTATTTGACTCTTCCTGAGCTTTATCACATTAAATAAACCTGCACTCACTCTTGATCACATCTTATGAGTATTAACTAGCCCATTCTTTGAAGGATGGATGTGTGAGGCACCGGCCCAAAACAGCAGAAGACAAGACAAGAATCCATTCGGAGAACAGCCAGCTCCCAGTTTTTTATCCCATAGCCCCCGTTCAAACATTAAAAAGAATGGCTTCACATACTGTACAAGACCGGATTAGATGCTAATTGGACTGTATTAATAAAATAAATTGAGGAATCTAAAATTATTTTTTTTACCCCTGACATGGCTGCTTCATTTCTGACATCCCGGAATGATGGGCAGAAGCTTCTCTCTCCTGCTGCTAGGTTAGGTGAAAGGTGTCTGAGCAAAAACGTTAACCAGTTAACCAGTTCTACTGGAACTGAGCTCTCCAACTGGCTGGAGGGCAGTCCTTGACTCCAGATGTCGAAAAGGTGCTCCTACTAAGACAATTAAGGCCACTCTGAAGAATTAAAGTGAAAAACGTGACACAAGGAGATCAAAAAGGACAGGCTCAACCTGCCTGGTCAACCTGCTCATAGACAGGAGGGTTCAGTCACACCAAGAAAAGCCAAACCTTGTTTTTTTTGTCTTTTTCCTTTGAAGGGTAGTTAGTCACATTTATCTGAAAATTAAAATTAATGTAGAGGGAAAATAAAATTGAAAAAGCATAGTCTGTTTGTGGGCCCCTAACACTCATGCATATAAACGCACACACAAATACTTATTCATTTTAGACTTAAATTATGTCAGAAGAGAACAACATGGTGTTGATTGGGTAAACATACTGATCAAAGTAGCAGAGGCCAAGTAGGCTGTAGGAATCAATGTAAGATCAGAGCGGTGATTCGATTTGGTGCTCCCATCATGCATCATTTCTGATCTTGGGTGTTATATTCAGTCTCTCCTGATGAGATCTGCGTGAGGCGTTTGCTGGAGCCCCAGAGCTTCCGGGTGATCTGCCCAGAACGCATCTGTTTGAAGCGTTGGACCAAAGTGGGAAAGCAAAGCAGAAAAGACAAAATAAATGATTAATGGACAATTGGCCGGATCAGTTCAGTCCAGACGGTAGACAAAGAACAAAGCAGTCTATATGTGGATAAATGGAGTCTAAAATACAAAACGCAATTGGTGCTGTATGATTTTAAAAAGGAACGTCCTTAGTTACTGAGTAGTAAATAGGTGCCGATGTGTCCACTGAATTTGTTTCTGAAACTGCATTGAGCTCACTAAATTAGTGTTTTAATTGTGTACGCTGCCAAGTGTTTTTGGGCTGCCAAGAGGAGGCTAATAAAAGGCAAAATGAACTATAGGTTCAGTTATAATTCAGTGCTTAGAAAGAAAAGACTGGACCCACCAGCTCTGACAGAAGTGGACTAAGAGTTGGAAGTGATATGGGCCTATATAACCATAGCACCTAAAATGTTGTCCCATTGAGGGTGTACCCTGCCTTGCTCCTGTTGCTTACTGGGATAGGCTCAGGCTCCCCTGCGACCCTGAATTGGATGAAGTGGTTAGAAAATGGATGGATGGAACACTGTCTGGTTTTACTGTAATGTACACCTATACTTTGGACAGAGCTTTATAGCTTAATAAAGGCTTCCATTAAAAAGATCATCTTCATCATCTTCCCAGATCAGAAAGCCCTAACTTAACACCTTTTACTATTGCATTCTGACGTAACAAGCTCTCAGACCAGGCATCCTTCTCAAACTATATTTAACAGTATTAGAAAACACTATGTATTCAAAGGTGTCTATGTTGAAAGGAGTGGGGTTTCCTGGTGTTCAGTCCTACTTCCACCCTGAGGTGAAGACAAACTTCTCCCTGAGCTTGAGGAGCTGAGCAGGAGACTTGAGGTTCAGCTGAGCCAGGAATGGGCTGTTCTCCACAGTTTGGTAGAAGTAGTTCCTGACGGTGGACTTTACCTCCGCTGGCTTGCCGACTCCGACGATGATCAGTTTGCCATCCTCTAGGCCCACCAGGGCGTGGCTGTTCTCCTTGGAGACGGAGATGCAATGGACTGGCACCCGCATGGCCATAGGTGCAGTACAGAGACACAGGCTGCGGAATAAGGGACAGAATTCTGTTCTGACAAAACCGTAACTCCTCTACGTTTGTGTTGCCCTGTGGTTGCGTTCCAGACCTGTAAACTGTGTGATGCTCTGTTGCTTTTCTGGTTTGCCGCCTAAATTCGGATTAGAATTAGACCTTTCAGAGTTAAATGAGAATGTCTCGCATGATTATGTATACAAGGGTAATCCTTCGGAGCTGATCAGCTTAACCTACATTCATGTTAAACATCTTGGATAAGCCTTTTCTCTTAAACAGATAATTAGCAAGACAAGTAAGGAGAAAGTATTAATTTCCCTTTGCTAGAAAAAATTAGTTCAGGTGAACAAAATTACTTCATAAAACTGTAAATACTTAAGTTATATTAGTTAGAAAATGCCAAAACAACTAGGAAATGGGCTCTGATGGGCTAAATGACTTTCCACAAGTGTAAACAGAACCACATTCCTTTAAAAACAAATATTTATGGTATTATATTGTAGAGTTTTTTCACTTTGAATTTTGTTGAAACACCACTATACTAAATAGCACAGTACTAAGGCTCACAGGATATGCAACAAATGTTCATATGAGATTCTGGTCTGTGGAAACTGTGGCTACAGACAGTACAGACCCTAGGCCAGCCGATAGCATACCTGTAGAGATCTCGGATCGAGAGATATCCCTGAGCGCTGCCCAGCACAATGTATTCCCCAGAGACGCACATGTCTGTGACCTGCTCCTTCAGAGTCTCGGAGCACAAGTGTTTCCCATTCACAGAATAAAGATGTAGTGCATTCTTATCCTAAGAGGAAAAAAATAATGATACTTATTCCTTACACTTATATAGTGCTTTACTGGACACACCACTCAAAGTGCTTTACAGGTAATGGGGACTCCCCTCCTCCACCACCAATGTGCAGCCCCCACCTGGATGATATGACAGCAGCCATAGTGCGCCAGAATGCTCATTACACACCAGCTATCAGTGGGGAGGAGAACAGAGTGATGAAGCAGAGATAAGATATAGGGGTAATACCCCTACTCTTTTCGAGAAACACCCTGGGATTTGTAATGGCCACATCTGAAAGATGGCACCTTTTTACAGTATAGTGTCCCCTTCACTATACTGGGGCATTGGAACCCACACAGACTGCAAGGTGAGCACCCCCTGCTGGCCCCACTAACACCTCTTCCAGCAGCAACCTTAGTTTTTCCCAGGAGGTCTCCCATCAAGGTACTGACCAGGCTCCCACCTGCTGAGCTTCAGTGCATTGCCAGTTGTGCGTTGCTTGCAGGTTGACATGGCTGCTGACTAGCAAATATACAATTTGCTTGATTTTGTCACGAGAGCAACATCTGCTTTAAATTTCCACTCTCAAATTGGTGAATCAGAACTTCACGTGCATATATTTGTAAGCATATGCTGTTAACCATTTAGTATTATTTCAACTATGAACAAGAAAGAAAGTGATAAGACGTGGGGAAATAAGAACCGCAACATCACAAGCTCTCAAGCCGGCTGTACACATTTGGTCATTTTTAGACAACATTTTTGAAGAAAGTGAAGGTTAACCGTTATAGCATGAGTCAAAAAATATCAACAGCACTCAATTATCATTTCTTTCCTTTACGGCCAACCTCAACCCATAATCATCAAGATCAGGTCTACCTTCAGTGTGGATTTGCCCTCTATAGATGTGTAGACAACCAGGTGCCCCTCCCAGGAGATGGCAAGGTTGAGGATGGTGACAGGCAGGGAACTCTCACAGGGGGGCCTCAGGGACCGCATATACTGCCCTCTCCGAATGGTGTGGATGACCACTGTACCGTCCTGGACAGAGCACAGCCACATGATGAGGCACCGGGACAGAAAAATAAACTCTTATATCTGAAGTGGAACAGTTGAACAAAGGAAGATGCACAGACAGCCAGGCTGTGTAGGAGCACAGGTTGTTTAGCCATTCTTTAAACTTAGACGATCAAGTAAGCGACGTGCTCTGGCTTCGAATGGCCCTGAGCTATGGATATCTGCCGTAAGAGGAACTGATTACGCAGAGAAACAGCAGAAAGTTCAGAAAGTCTCAGGTGAAAACTATACTATAAGGTTAGCTTCATGTTACTGGCAGCAGAACAAGTTCCAGACCTACCGTGGATCCTGAGATAGCCATGTCCAGCTCAGTGCTGATAGAGACACTCACAATCTCATTTGTGTGCCCATACAAGATCTGTACAGGCTTAGGGGATAAACCCACAGGTACTCCTCCCTTTAAGAGAAACAAAAATACAGATATAGGACATTTGCTGTGAAGATCTTAGTAATAGAGATCATTTTGCTAAGCTGTATTCATTATGCATATAAAAGGAAATCTACAGTGTGGTGTAGTATACTACTGTATAAGCATTTATTGCTACAATGTAAATACAAGAACTGATGAAAATCTATACATTCAAATCTAACACAATTCATTTTACATGGTGATATGCTGATATTTGATGGTGCTTTGGTGCAACATTTTCTTGCTTATTACTGTATGTACACCCTAATAATAGTACCATTTTGACCCAAATCTGCACTTTCTCACTCTCCTTGAAAATGGCTGGAGTGTTCGGGGTCTTGAAAGATGCGAGAAGCTAGCAGAGCATTACTGCATCAAAAAATCCGAAACATTTATTTCACTGCTGAAATTATCTTATCTGTTTGATTTAAGAATATATTTCTGTATTTGTTATGTCTCTTTCTTAAAAAATAAGGTCACCTTAAATTCAAAGCCAGCGTATGTTTGGACTAAGACAGTACAATATGCTACTGTTATATATACAATATCCAAAGCATGCTTTGATAAACCTTAGCTAATTTTAATTGCCAAGTCAAAATAATTCAACTTGAGTACTTCAAAGGTAACTTTCAAAAAGCTTTGCTCTAATGCAAATACTTCGCCCCTTTTTGATCAGTTAAGTCCTGCAAAATTCAAAAACACTTAATTTAAACAAAAAATCATGTTATTTCTATTTCAGTTCTTTAGCCAAACTGACACATTTAAATTGCCTAGCTGCACTCAGAAAAAAAAGAACAAATATATGAAGCAAAATACTAATAACAATACTGTTAAGATAACTGGCAGACTGTTTGAACTGTAAGCAAATACTATTTTATGAGCCGTCTGAACTGCATTGACTGACAATAGTTAAACTTTGGTGAGCACTGTACCTGATGAAGGATTTGCCACACCATACAAGTTGTGTCTCGCGAGCCTGAAATGAGGTGGATACCACAGTAGTCTGAGGACAGGCACGTCACAATATCTGAAAAACAGAAAAAATGTCAAACCATACAACACCAGACAAAATAATTTAGATAGGTGTTTTAACGCAATGAGGATGTCTCCTTATCCTCTAAAAAGCTGAGTTAGCGTCAACTCGTCCGGGAGCACATTTTGAAGAAAATTTCCTGGGTTACTACATCTCAACAAGATTACTAATTTGGGATATTGTTTAATATTCTTAATTACTACACTGTGAGACTGCCTGTGACATCTTAAACTGCTGCACTGGGAAATATTAATACAATGTTCTCACTTCAGCATGTATAGAAATCATGACAGAATTACGGAATGATTCCAGATTGCAAACAGAATACACATTCTGGCTTATAAAGACACTTCAACATTCAAATTTGACTAATTAAAGAAAATAATGTAAATAGACACTATAACCATATCCATACTAGCAAATATACAAACAGGAATGTACCCATATGCCTAATGTGCTGTCCCACCAGCTTGCCCTTAGTCAGAGAGGTCACCCTGAGGCTATTGTCCCAGTGACCCCCGCTGAAGAGCAACTTCCCATCATGGGACATGACAAAGAGCTTGGCTGTGATCTCAAGTCCTGGGGAAAGAGGGCCGTTGATGAATCGCTGGGTCCTAGGGCAAATGGAAAAATCAACAAAATCAATGATAGTAACTGGCTCTATACCAGCTGCTTTGCTAGCTGATGTTCATCCATCGATGTCGATGAAGACCACGACTATCAAGAGATTGAACCAGGGTCTTCTTAAATGTATAAACCATGCTAATAATTAATAATAATAATAATTGCTTACACTTATATAACGCTTTTCTGGACACTCCACTCAAAGCACTTTACAGGTAATGGGGACTCTCCTCCACCACCACCAATGTGCAGCATCCACCTGGATGATGCGACGGCAGCAATAGTGCGCCAGAACGCTCCCCACACATCAGCTCTCAGTGGGGAGGAGAGCAGATTAATGAAGCCAATTCATAGATGAGGATTTTTAGGAGGCCATGATTGGTAAGGGCCAATGGGAAATTTGGCCAGGTTACACCCCTACACTTTTAGAGAAACACCCTGGGATTTTTAATGGCCACAGAGAGTCAGGACCTCGGTTTTACGTCTCATCCGAAGGACGGCGCCTGTTTACAGTATAGTGTCCCTGTCACTATACTGGGGCATTAGGACCCACATGGACCACAGGGTGAGCACCCCCTGCTGGCCCCACTAACACCTCTTCCAGCAGCAACCTTAGTTTTTCCCAGGAGGTCTCCCATCCAGGTACTGACCAGGCTCACACCTGCTGAGCTTCAGTGGTATGCCAGTTGAGAGTTGCAGGGTGATATGGCTGCTAAAGAACTAGATATAATTTAACACGTAGCCTAAAGGCCTCTTAAAAAGGATTCCAACAATACGTCCCATTAATGATCCAAAAACATAGGATCTCAGGGACAAAAAGTCCCAAGTTCATCAGATCTAAGTAATTATTGTAGACCAAAAAAAACGCATTTCCTCCATGTTCACTCAGTGAAAAACAGTACAAACCTTAGGGTGATTTTAGGTAAAGATCTTGAAATTTATGGTGTTATTTTACAGAACGTTACGGTGCTACTTTACAGAAACTCTTTACTTCAGGAATAAATTGATGTAGGAGTTCTCATATTTTTCTTGATTAAAAACGTTCTAACCATACACTGTTTCTAAACATATGTTTCTCCTGGCACATATTACTTTATACTCTGAATAAAACAGACAACTGAAGGTGCACATTGTAAAAGCAAACCAATAAATGAAACAATCGAATTATGTATGTTGAGATCCTGAGAAAACACACAGCATGTCTCACAACATTAGTGTGTGAATAGAAAAGTTGTGAGAGACTTAGCTTTAGTGTTTTTTTATTTTAAAAATATATTTTATGAAAAATTATCAATCCCTGCATTTTCAACAAAACAATTTTCAATGAAACAAATGCCTATTGAAGTAAATAATATATTATTCTACCACTGATACATAAGAACCCTAAGTACTGAAGTTGAATTCTACTGTAACAAAAAATAATTGTAAATAATGGACTCACTTTGAATTAGATACAGTAGGGTCCTTGATGAAGGTGAAGTAATTAGAAATATTTTTATCATAAGGCAGCCAGCCATGGGTTCCTATCAGACAGTTCTGACTTACTGTTATCTGCAAAAAAAAGGAATATTTTTTAATTCAAATTCTGTTTAATTTATGATTAAGAATACAGCATGTAGTGTACTTTGAAAAAAGAACACAAAAAAGTCCATCGCTATTCGATTGATGCTGTGCACGCACAAAACAGACGACACACTGTAGGTGACAGCTTAATCAGTGCCACTATGAGCTGAAAAGGATGAAATAAACAATCTTTTGCTTTTGTTAATGCAAACAAAACTGGATGAGAAAACTAATGTGCATGATTCAATGTTCTGCACCATGTTTCTAGTAAAACGCTGAAACTGATTAAACTGAAAAATGTCATCATCTTCTTTCCTCAACACTTTAGTCTGACTAATCAAGTAATTGACTATAGAAGCAGCTTCCATAAGAAAAATGGTTATCCATAACAAAGCACATATTCGAGAGTCAGAAAATGAGACATAAAACCATTTAGCATAATATAAAAGAAAAACAGATTACATGAACGGCTTCTACCAAGTAAGAAAGTAGGGTAGAGAACCAATTCAACCAGATTAAACAAGCAAACCACTGTAAAAGAGCTCTGAGATAACATTCAATATCTGTCTGTAGAAAACTGTAGTATCAAATGTACATATTATTATATATGTCCTCTCTTCGTATGCCAGAGTAACTACAAGAGGGAATGCTTGTAGTGATGTGGTCTATTCAAACAATCAGAGTGAGGAAAGCTGACGTCAGGGAAGTTCATCTTTGAAGCATACTTTTAAGATTTTATAGGTTGAATCCAAAACCAATTTTTACAATTCCAAGAAAATGAATGAAACCAAGCTTAAGAGAAATAGAACAGGATGGGATGGACACAAAGAGAAGAGCTAAAAAGAGAATGTTTTTATCAGTAGTTGAATGCGTAGAATTAAAAAATTGAAATGCTATCTTAAAATTGCAAAATGCACTAAGACTTTATTACGAATATTCTGCATGTTTTTGGTCACCAAGATTCTAAAATAGATACTGCAGTTCAGGAATCGGTAGAGAAAAGCAACAAAATACGTTCTCAGACTCAAAAGAATGTGCTGCACTGAGAAGGAGTAAGAATTGATCCTTTTTTTGTCTGAATCACAGAAGACTACAAGGGATCTGATGCAAATATTCAAAATCCTCAAAGGCACAGATAAAATCAACCCAGTGAAATCAACAATGAAATACAGGCCAGAATACATCAGTAGGAACTATATGAAAGGGTGTTACAAACTGAGAAATGTTTTTACACAAAGGGTTGTTAGAGTATGCAATATGGATCTCAGCCAAGTTGTTGAAACTGGTACCCTGGCTTCTTTAAATGGTTGGAAAAGATGAATTGATCACCTTTTGAAAACCAAACCAGTGCGCTGAATGGCCCCTCTGTCGTTTGTAACTGTCATTATATGATAACGTGCAGTGTCTTCATGGCTATAACTGTATTCAATAACCCCTGATGCTATAATGATCGCACCAGTCAGAGACTCTTAAGTGTATGAATATATTAATCTTGTATTACAGTACAATTAAAGGTAGTAGAGAATGCTAGTGCTTTCAGGAAAATCTGTTGTATTTCTTAAAAGACAAGGTCTGAATATAAATCAAAGAGACTTACCAAATTGTCTGGGCTGCCCTGTGAGATAAATGATCTCGACTGGTTTTTAGGAACAACTGCTTTCACTATAGGAATGTTATCACTGATGCCCTGGACAAATGAAAAGAAAGCATGTATACAGTCGTATAGTGTACACGTCACCAAGATTAACTTCACGTTTCACAGCAGGAACAAATAACCACAAGGATGTCATATACAAAGGACAATATTTACATCAAAATGTTAAATGCCCTTTATATTTCAGCATCCTGAAGAATATTTCCTCAAATGAGAGTATTGCTCGAGCCAGATGGAGAGCGCTTTTTTCTTGTGAAAAGGCTACAACCACACCTCTATTAAGGTAGCTTTGAATGCTGTTTGTTAGTAAATTTCTGTCACTTTAAAGGAAAATCCAGAGCAAAGCATAAAATTCATAATGAAGTTCATAACGTATTAATTAGGCTTTTGTATAATAAGTTTGTGTCCCAGTTTCTCATGCCCTAAGCTAGAGCATGTTTCTAGGCTTACACCACTACACTGAGAATTTCTGCTTGATTTTATTATTTTTTTAACTTGGTTTTCTCTTCAATAAAGCCCTCTTTCAAAATGTAAAACAAACAAGATTACGATGTCAAATCCATTTCACTTGAACAGGCTTTCTGTTGATGTTTTCATACGGTTTACTCAATTATTCCGTCATACATTACTTTATTACTTTACATACATTACTTTATTATTTCAGAATTTCCGAGCTTACTGTTTCACCCGTTTGGTAAAATGACAAGTCAAAGCAAAGGCAATCAGATGTTATACTACTGTGTGCCTCTTGCGAAGAGAGGCCAGCTACCTCAACGAAGAAGGATTTGAGCTCGGGAAGATGCTCAAAAATGCTCAGAGGACAGGTGTCCTGCCGGGCCTTTCGCTTCTCCACCTCCTCAGCCGACAGTCGTACTGGATGAGGCTCCTGAGCAACAGACGAACACAGAACAGTTTGGGTGACAACAGTGTCTACAGTATATGTACGTCCATCTATTTTTTAACGCCTCTATCCAGAGCTGGAGGGGTTTGCAGGTTGAGCCGCCACGTATCCCAGCAAGCAACAGGCACTGGACAGGTTGGATACGCACTGGAAAGGATGCCAGTCCATTGTACACACAAACCCACCCACCCATTTTCTAACCGTTTCTTTCAAATCGGAGTTGGAGGGGAGCCGGAGTCTATCCCAGCAAGCAAGGGGCGCAAGGCAGGGTACGCCCTGGATGGGACAGCAGTCCGTCTCAGGCCGGATGCCGACACTCACACCAGGACTCATTTTCCCAGAAGCCAAACAAACCAACCAGTGTGTATTTGGACTGCGGGAAGAAACCCACCTGACACAAAGAGAGAACATACGAGCTCCACGCAGATAGCACCCCAGGATTTTGAACCCAGGGCCCTGGTACTGCGAGGGCAGAAAAAACCACTACACCACCATACCATGGCTATAGACAGTGCCTTGTAAAAGTATTCACCCCTTTCCAAAGATATCCCATTTCTGTTGGATTGTAAATGATGTTAATACTTTTGTAAAGTGAATATTTTTTATTTGATTAAAATGAAAAATATATAAATATATAAATAAAATATATCTTACCTAAATGCTAAGACTGAACAATTTTATGGCAAAAGATATTGTATTTTTGGATGAAAAACCCAAACCTAATTTACATTGGTGTTAACTTTTGACTGCGTGTTGTCAAAAGGGCATTTTGACCCTTTCATCAAGGTTAAACTACTATAACACCACTTCATGTGATGTCTACAAAGGTACTAAGATTATATCCTGAAATCCTCAGCTCATGAGCTACTAAAACTACCCTGCATTAACTTACAACACCTGTTATGAGCACTGGTGATGCTTTTAACTACTGTATCTCCTCTCCTCATATAAGACACTGAATATTCTAGCTCCAGGCTATCTTAAGGCCTTATTGCAAGACTAGAATCCAGTTGAATTTGAGACCATGCTGTTTCAGCCTGCGAAAGACCAGGCTCCACACAATGAGCAATAGCTCCCCGTATTTTGAACTCAATATCCAAATTCATTAGTCGACATTTTTAAAAACATAAAGGCCTATATTTTCCCTTTAGCTTCATTCTACTATTGGTGTTCCTTGGTTAATTTACCAAGCTTTTATTCTGTTTGATTTCCTGTCTATTAAGGGTATTTAGCAAGCTCTTCTGCACATTGCTTATGAATTTTTCTGGAAAGCAGAAAACAGTGTTATCGTCACGACAACGGGTACCTTAAGGAGCTGACAGGGAGTCTGTCCGAAATTGCTGATCATGCCCTCCAAGGCCTTTCGCTCTTTCTCGTCAGCTACCGCATCCAAATCGACAGCACCTACAGGGCAAAAACAGCGAGTCAATCCTGCTCATCTAGAGCAGTAAAACTCAAACTTTTCACGTGTCGCCTACTTCCTATGTGGTGTTCCCCTATAAGCAGCCCTTCCCCTATGAACGTGGCAAGACGGCAGAATTTAGGTACAACAGGGATCCAGCACACAGAAATGTAATTGACTCACTAATTTGTCTCGCGTAGGCAACAGCCAATAGTGCGTAGAGCTTGAGAGACGAACACGTTCAAACAACCTAATGCAGTGATTCAAATGGGAGCTCATTAAGATCAGAAAACTTTATATTTGACCTCTGTATCCCCCCTGGAATGGCACAGTCAAAGATTTGAAGTATTGTCCTACCAAGTGGAAATATTTTTCACGGTTGCCTGTAATACTGCCCAAATAATAAATCCTAAGGTATTTGTGTATAATGTACATCATTTTTGTTAGTTTGTTAGTACCTTAGCACTATTTGTATTTGGCATTTGTACTAAAATGTTGTACTTTACTCTAATTTTACTCTAATGTACTTTACTCTATTTTCAGACAACTGACATGCTTCATACTTGTGGTTATGCCCCCACACGGATGCTCCTGGTCCCCCACGGGCCTAAATCTACAGCCCACAGCAAGATGCTCACAGTCTATTCACAGGTCATGGTGTACAGGGCAAGAGCATTGCATGTCCTCTTCCTTGGCGTCTTTTTTAATTTGTCTATCTACGTTTTACTGATTTATGATTTATTAGTGCAAAAAAGGTCAACGAGAAGAAGACAATAAGAGACTCCTATTATATCCAACCATACGGTAATACTTTTAAAAACATTTTAAATGGCAAGATTTTTCAGGCAAGTTCTTAAAGAAGTGCAAATAACTGGCTTTTGCAGTACACTTCTTTGCTCCTTGTTCTCAGTCATGAATCTAATAAAAGGTTATTGCAATCTGGGTCTTTTAACTCTGGTTTCTGTACTGAGGCCAGCAAGAAATGAGGTCTGTTAAGCAGTCCGTTCCATATTTTCTCGAAAAGAGTAGGGGTGTAACCCCGGTGTCCTGGACAGATTTCCAATTGGCCCTTACCAATCATGGCCTCCTAATAATCCCCATCTCTGAACTGGCTTCATTACTCTGCTCTCCTCCCTACTAATAGCTGATGTGTGGTGTGCGTTCTGGCACACTACAGCTGCCGTCGCATTATCCAGGTGGAGCTGCACATTGGTGGTGGTAGTGGGATTCCCCATTACCTGTAAAGCGCTTTGAGTGGAGTTTCCAGAAAAGTGCTATATAAGTGTAAGCAATTATTATTATTAAATTCACTGAAATTACCGAGATATTTCTATTTAGTTTTTTTTCATATAGCAGTCGACCACTGGTGTTTCTCTTCCTTGCACAAAAAGCCCTGCGATGAGAGAGTTGAATGCGTGACGTGTACCTTCGTAAGTACAATAGTAGAACACATTCAGCGCCTCCACTGCCGCTGGCCCCCTCTGTTTGTAACCAAAGATCAGGTCGATCCACTCGTGGAGGTGGGCTGACACATACTCCGATTCCTAAAAGACAACGACAGCGACAAATCAGTGCCCTAATGGCAGATGAGCGAAACAGGTGAGCCCGACACATTAGCATTTTATTAGCTATATTTCTTATGTTTCAAAATGGTAGTTTAACTACTGCAGTGGTGTTTCTTTTCTTACGAGAAGAAGGTTTCATGCAACATGCCCCTGTACGTATGAACCAGCAGGCCTTTAAGGAGGTAACACTACCCAGATATAACCCATCACTGTGGATCAGAACATCTTTGCACTTTAAAGTTGTTGGTAAAGTTTTGGTCTGTCTTTGTTGACAAAGCTATGGAGAGTAAATGAAAGCACTATTTACCGATGTATTTCAACCCTCACTGTACTGCTTGCCTCAACCTTGAATACAAAATACCTTTTGAATGGAGCTGCCTGGATTATATTTTTCCTGTTCTGACAGAATACTGTGCGTTGACATCTCTGAATATTTTAATTTGTTACAGTTGTGCATCTTGAACTCCTTAATATTTATATCACGCACAAAAACACTACTGAAGATGCAGGACTTCTGGCTTGTAGATGCAAGGGGATCGTGTTTTTCGATAAGCCAAATAAAAGCCTTCTTACCAGTGCTTTCCTGTGCTTGTAGATGAAATCTTCTGGACCTCTTGCCCACTTTGGAAGAATGACATCATTCACCCGTTCTTTAGATATCTGCAAACACCCGAGGTCAAACTCTGACGGGATAAAAATGGGATTACGTTCAAAACGTTTGAATATTATACGAGGAAAACAATCAGTTGTTTAAATGTTTGTGGTTGATGGCCTTACGTTTTCCTAAACAAAGCAGGTCCCGGCAAACAGAAGCAAATGCGTTTTACTCACCGTTTTGGTTCTCCAAAAATTCCGGGAAGTAGAAGAATTCCGGAATGAGCTCTTTGACATCGTTCGGATTGTCCACGAGGGCTTGCCAGGTGGCGGGAATGGAATGGAACTGCCGGTCAGCACAATCAAACCTGTTGGGAGAGGGGCGGATGACTTTTTTTACTTTACTCTTTAATGATTATATCACTTCTGGTAAGTAGCAGGCAATATGAAATATCCCCATGCGCTTCATCATGCACAGAAATGCAAGCACACAAAACGTTCTGACCCTACAGTGGAATTTCTTGTGCAATTACAGTCATATTGAAAATAGCCCATCCATCCACTGTCTAAATGCTTTTCCAATTCAGGGTCATGGGGGAGGCAGAGCCTATCCCAGCATGCAATGGGCACAAGACAGGATACACTGTGGATGGGACGCCAATCCATCACAGGGCACACACAGACACTCACACCAAGGGCCAATTTTCCCAGAAGCCAATTAACCTACCAGTATGTCTTTGGACAATGAGAACAAACCAGGGCATCAGCAGGAAAGCCATGCAAACAAGGAGGGAACACCACACAGATAGCACCCCAGGTCCGGAAGCAGCAATGCTAACCAATGTCCAATCCTTCCACCCTTCTGAACATAGCCAAATTATAATACTGTAGATTTGTTTTGTTCCTAAGCTTTGTCTTTTCTGTCATATATTTTACACTAGACAACACTTTGAGCACTTGTTTGTAAACTTTTGTTTGCACATTGTTTTTTTAAGGTAAAAAACTTCGGGATTTCGTTATTCCCAGCATTCATTATGGTCTACCTGTAAAAATATAGCATTGGGAAGGAACACAGCAGGCATAGTATTGTGACCGCTGTACAAGGTGCCCAGCAGGGCCTATAAGCAGCTACAGCAGTCTTTGGAGTTTATGCATGGGTTTGAACTTACTAGACAGATCACACTTACACATAACACGAACACGATATTAACAGCTTAAAGGTTGTACCTTCCACTCTGGAGCTGAATATGCAGTGAAGTAAAGGGCTCCACCCTTATCAGATAGTGCATCACCCCTGCAGCGTTGGAATAGTGGGTACCGTAGTGGAATTTATCAATAGTGCCAGTAGGGTCTTCAAAGCTTTCATACCTAATTAGAATAATGACAACGAAATGGGGTATTAGGATAGGTTATATTAAAATATTGAAAACTCCAACCTTTTTCTCCTAAACTCTACATTGATTCCTTCAAAGTTCTTTTGGTGGTGTAATTCCTGGTTTTCCTGGGTGTTCAGGAATGAGACGGTATGCAATTTCTTCACCGATAATGCCAAATAATGAGCTGAATGAGCTGAACAAAAAAAAAAGTCTTAAAGCATTCTTATTAATCGATAAAAACCTTTTTGAAAAAATGCATCAAAACTGTCCACGATGCCCAGCTAAATTGTGCATTTTCGCTCAAGAAACTACAAATACTTTTACAAAACAATGTTTAAATAGAAAAAAACACATTTTTTGCACCATGCACATTTTAATTTCTGAATACTTTTAAAAATAGGAAATATGCTGTGTTTTGGTTTTTATATACCAAATCATCATCATCACATCAGTGGTAGCTCTCATCTAGAAAAAATAAAGAATTTACTGGTTAAAGAAAACATACTTTTCACGAACAGATTTGGCATTTTTCTCATTCACCACTCCTATCGGTTTGGAGAGGTCTCGGAACACGAGGGGATTGTTCAAATCCAGCTCCTCGGAGGTGTAATCTGAAAGAATCCAGGGAAACTGAGGGAAATAAAAGAATAAAATTAATTCTACAAACATTTCAGGTGCTTTACTGAAGACTACTGAATGGGTATTGCTTTCAAAAACTCCATCGCCCAGCAGCATTTATGTCAATGAAATCCTTGATTCTGAGTAGCTCTTCATAGAATTATCTCTTATCTCATCTCTTCGCTTAATCGGTAGGAGTAGTCAATTTACTATGAAACATCGTGTATAAACCATCAAAACCCGGACACAGAAATCACATTTTAAATAAGCCAAGGGAAACTCAGAACACAGTAACCATATATTAATAAAACTTAACAAATAACAGATTTTTGTTCCATGCGTTATCAAATATATTCTAAACTTCTTAAATCTCTCCTGTTGTGAACACAGCTTAAGGAGGATTTTTAAAAGAAGGACACCTTACCACTGGATATTGGGCCAGATCATTGTACGTTCTCCCGGCAATTGTATTCAGCTGAATGAGGTAGTCAAAGTTGGTGATTTCCCTATTCACCCACTTCTGCTCAAGAAGACAGAAAATGGTAGAAAACATTTAAGCCTCAAGTGTGAAAATATGGTGTCTAGGGTACAAATTAAGCATTCCAGTTTTCAAAATGATGATATGAGGTTTTTCTTCAACATAGAAATGAAACTTTTCAGGAAACGTTATCAAAACACATTGTCAGAAACATTTTTTCAAGCAGATTTATTGCACTGGTGGTGCTGCACTTGTTAATTGCACTAAACTCTTTAGGAATAAGAGTGGAAGCAGAGCAATTAGGTCCTTAACAGTGAAGAAAAGGGAGATTATCATGATCTTCTGAATGAGCTCCATTTTTAAGTTTTTCTGCATATTGATATATATGGATTCAGTCTTCCATGTTAAGGCTTCAAATACGATATTCCTTGTTAAAATCGGATTTTCACTACGGGATGATTTCAAGCCCTGCATCTTCTGTAGTTTCTAGAAAAACTGCGTGCAGTTTCTGAAATGAACTTCGTAAAAGGACAAAATGTCCCTCAACTCAGCACTTCATAGAAACCTTGCCCCACAAATGTAAAAATCCAAAATAAAAAATGACATATGGTTTTGTTTTTATTAAATAATGAAGAACACTATAATTGAATTTACTATGCAAAAAAAGATTGATTGAAAGCTAAACCTCCTCTTCTTCTTTATCTAGGTATATGCATCCCCCATGGATCTGGATGTGCTTAAAATGTTAACAAATATTCAGTAGCTATTTCTACAAAGGCTGAGCTAGTTCATCACAGGGGCCTGCATGAGCTGAGTGCGAGACAACAGTCCATTCAAAGTGATTTACTGAATTATGGTCTCAAATAACAAACGCCTTTTTCCCTTGCCGTTGAAAAAGCGTGACGTGAGCTGCGATAAATTTTTTTAAAAAAATTCTTTCTGTAACGGCAGTGCCTTATTTCCGACGTGTCATCAAACACTGCACTGATTTTCGAAATGGAAATTCTTCCCTGCCATTACTATACCATGGTTTCAGCAGTCCTGAAGTCTTTTTGAGAATCCCACCGACTGCAGGAATAATGATGCCCTGGTGAATGTTGAACTCTCACCTGCGTCAGTCCAGATGCTTTTAACAGTTCCTGAGGGGAGCGAGTTCCATACAGGTTAGGCGAGCGCAGTGACAATATGCGACTGTACACTTTGTTCCTCACCTGCAATGAGAAATTTACCATTGGATATGGGTTATTAATGCCCAAAGACATAAACCCAGCCTGAGATGTGGTTTTCATTGTAAATGAATAAGAATATATTCTCCGTCGATGATATCGGCAACTTCTTTCATTGTCTCAAAAAAGCAGGACCATTACAGAACGTTTGATGCACAGCTCAGTGTCTACAGAACCCAAACAGCTAAACAGTCACTCACCTCTTTTTTAAAATTGAGGAAATAATTAGTTTGATCGATGAGGAATATTTCCAAAGCCGAACGCCGGAGGTTGAACCTGCGAAGATGTACCTCTCTAATCTGAAGGAGTGGCCATTTGAAGTCATAGCCGACGCCTGTCATGACACACAGAGAGAGAGGAGAAAGCGTGTTACGAGTCTTACTATGCACAGTTCACTTTTTTAAAAAACAATCACATTTATTTTTAAGCCAAGCAGACAGGCTGACAGACAGAAAGTTTGTGTACTTTGAGCAAACTTAAATAATAATTATCCACAATACACAAAACAAATGTATTTCTCAATCTGAAAATAATAACATTTTTGAATGATTTTTCTTAATGGAAATGCATTACAAGTATCTTTACCACTACACACACCCGAAAAAGCCTCCACAGTCCAAACATTGTTTCATTTCTTCTCTTTTCAGCATGGGATAAGCCTTCACTTGTTTCTTTGCCACACCACTAACTCATGCCACTTTTACTGCACAAAACCTTCTACAATTTATGTGAAATCCCACATTTGTATCAACTGAATCTAGATATAATGGGATACACCTGGCTTGGGTCAACATTGCCAGCTTCAAAGCAGGGGGATGTTTGCTGAGATGTGGTGGTCCCAGATTCAATGATCACAGGAATCCTAAAGTTTACTTTGGTTAATGAAGTTCTGGGTAAATGATTAAGTGTCAATCAACAGTCTAGGAAGACAAAAGGTGAGAGCTCCTTGTTCCAGGAAGTATGTGTGGAGCTATGTGAATCTTGCTAAGAGAGCTTGCTCTTTTGGGGTTTCTAGGGAACTCTTGAGTTCTTGAGTGAAGAATCCCTCAGTTAAAAACGGCCTCTCCCGGTGAGTGTGTGCATTTTTAGAATAGGGAGCACAGTTCCTATTCTGTTTGGTTTAGAAGGCAGCTTTCTCTTATTTTGGCCTTTGTAGGCATTAAAAAAGAGTTTGAAGTCTTGATAACAGTCTGGGGTTTTTCTAGGTGGTTAGGACATTAGGCCTCTGGGACACCCTATTTGAAAGTTTGTACATTGTGTAACTTGTGTGTTGTATGATTATGTTGTCTGTTGTTTAGTGTGTCTATTGTTACTGTTAAATATTTGTTTAACACATGGTACCTGAACTATTCTCTGTTCACCAAAGCTGTGCCAGAGAACAAATAATTCATATTATTGGCAAAATCTTAACATGATTATTTATTTTACATATTGATTTATCTGTTTGGTTATTTACTGAAATTTCCCTAGTTTCGTAACCCCCTATTTGTAACAATATGAATATTATTTGTCAATGAGATACTGAAGTGTGCCAGAACTGCACAGATTTTCATCTGCATTTCTAATTTGATAAACTACATGCTTTCTTCTGCATAGGTTTTTGGCACGGTGCAGATATGAGTCTTCTAGCTAAGTTTCAAAGACTGTTCTAACCTTCCTCCTTTTCCACACTGCCATCGTAGAAGTAAATATGCTGGGTAGTGACTTCCAGACGGCCGGAAATGACATCCATCACAGTGATGAGCTCACAGTCCTCGGAAATGACCAGCTTTTCCTTTTGGCTCTGCTCCTCAGTCTCGTTCCTACAGGAGGTAGGGAAAAGCAGTTTAAAGGGACACTTCTCTGATAACTGAGGAGTTAAAAATTTTTGCCTGAATTTCAGCTATCACTAATCATTGATTCTGACAAAAATGATTGCTAGGCTACGGAGATTGCACTATACAGATAGCATCAGGTTGATAAATCAAAGGAGATTGAGAAGCGTCCAGTTTAAGGTTTAGTCTAGCATTCACATTGCCTGTAATCAAGGAATGCTGTTTCCCACAGAGTGACATGAATGACTGAAGCGTGTACTTTGCAAGAATTATTTCTGGGGTGGCTAGTCTGCAATGCTGCACTCAGAGTCTCCAGACTTTGGTACAATCTGAATGCGTACAATTTTAATGCATGCCCTCTCTAAGCTTTTTATCCATTTTTGAAAAACTTTTTATTTAGCAATGAAAGGGTTTACAAACAGAACATAACCAAAACAGCAGAATAAACATTTACCTTCAACTTACATTTTTGTTACATTGTATATATAAAATGAACTACTGTATTTACACTATGCCAGCAGGTATGGACGGCCATACAAAAAAAATTATACAATTGTTTGTAAGAAACACAACCAATAACAAAAAAGTCCACACAAAGATATCACTGCATATTTTCTCGTAAACTAGAATCAGGTCCCTGTAGGGAGATAAATTTAATCCATGTTTCCCAGTATTTGCTGAACCTGTCTGCCTGCAATCTGAGAGAAAAAGTAATTTTTTCCCATTATATACTGTAGCTCTCATTCACAACATTAACCCACGTGTTGGGGGTTCTTTTATAAGCCATTTTCGCGTAATTGCTTGTTTACTAGCTGCTAGAAGAATCCCTAATACGTATCTATCCTTTACTTCAATATCATCCAAGTCAAAATTGCCCAAGCTCTTTGTCCATTTTGAGGACGTTTTTTTAATTATTAAAATTAAGTTTCACGTTGCAACGCGGATAAGCTGCACAGGGAAAAGGATCAGCTAGTAAAGAACCTATTAAAGGTTCTTCCTTCGAAAAACAAAAACTCCACAACTCCCAGGCTGAACGGGCGAAGGGATTTACCCCACGTCTGTCAGTGTGCACAATACTGCCAGCTGACTTTGGGCATGACGAGAGTGTGGTCGCAGTGTTGAGACAGAGCCGGAAACTCACAGGTTGTTGCCTCCCGTTGGGTCATCCTCTGGCAGCTCCAGCATGTCATCCTCCAGGTCGTTCACCTTTGCCTGCTTCACTGCCTCCAGGAGCAGAGACTCCGTGGTTGGCTGGTACAGTTGGACGCCTGTGCCGGGGGAATATATAAACAGCCATGGGCGCGAGGCAGTGTACGCCCAGTCCATCGCAGGGCACACACTGACACGTCAATCTTCCCAGTGTCAGGGATGTCGGAAAGGACGAACCGTGGAATGGCAGGAGAGCGAAAAGACCCTATGTGTAGCAGCGAGACGGGGGATAGCCCGAGCTCAGCTGTTCAGGGAATGCCGTATAGAAACCTATGCCCTCAGGTAGCGGACGTGGGGGGACCTGGTGCTAGGCGGGTTTCAGGACATCCGAACGTCAATGCTGAGCGAAGGCAGACTGAAAGACCCGGAAATATATAGTCCCAGAGAGAGAGAAACACCGTAAGGACAGCAGAGAACCGGAAATGAGAGACAGGAAAGAGAAGGAGCACCCTCTGGCCAGCAGGTCTTTGGGCTGTGGGATGAAACAGAAACACCTGGAGGAAACCCCATGAAAACACGGGGGGAACATACAAACCTCCACCCAGATAGCACCCAAGGGCCACAGCGCTGCTTCGTAAACTTCCCGCTCCTCAGCAGCCAAGACTGGTAACTGTCTACACAGAGGAGCCGAGGCCTGAGATCTTTCCGGAAAACAAAGCCAGGGCTCTGTGTGGAAGTGTGGACCCACCCAAATCATCCTGCAGAAGACCAGTCGGTGAACAAGAATACCAGTCTCACCGAGATTGTCGCGCAGGGCACTGGCTTCTCTGTGAGGGTCAAAGTTGTAGTTCTGAACAAGTTTCAGCCGCATGCGGGAATAGTTCTCTGCGCTCGACACTTTCCAGTGCATTTTGCTCTGCTGCCTGAAACGAAAAGCAGAGTGGAAATTGTTGGGCGACGCAAGGTAAAGGGAAGCGAACACAAACCAAACTTTCCTCCTTCCCCCTATAAACAGCTGCATTTCAGAAATAGACGCAAAAAAAAAAAATACTTTAAACTTCAAGCGTCTGTTTTAAGGTTTAGAGGAATGGGCCACACAAAAATGGAGAGGATATGCGTTTTTACCTGTGGGCCCAGGGTCCCCTCTCACAAACCAGGCCTCGCCGCGCTGCCTTCCACTGGCGAAGGACGGTGTTCTGCTGGTTGTTGATTAGTTTCAGCATGCTGTTGTAGCGCAGGTTCTCTTGACGGGCTTTGCGGGTGAAAGGCTCCACAAACAGCTCCTAGGAGGAGAGACCAGAGCTGTAACTGATCACCTTCCCGTTAAAAAACGTTTACCTTTATCACAAAAAAACTTCTATAGCATGGGCCGTTACAACCTATTATACATTTTTCACTACTTGTTTTACTTGCACTTGTGTAGTTTGTATCTTAAGATGAGTGATGGGTACAGAAAAGTCTGCTGTCCCTTTAGTACAGTACTAGTTAAAAAGTAGGCTCGGTAGCTACTGGAGGCATAATACTACCCAGAATACCAAACTCACCTGGAATTTGAGCTTGCTCTCTCCTTTCTCCCTCTCCCGCTTGTGTAAGTTCACCATGAAGGCCTCGTAGCAGTCCTTCCAGTAGACCGCCATGGCCTCGTGACCCCTGCTGAACATCTCAATCTCATACTGCTTCATGTACGGAATGATCTAGAAACGCAACGCAGCACCTGTGAGCAGCCCATTCCGTGGGCCTTACGGCAATTGGAAAGTTGTTTCAGAAACAATCGCAGCGAGTATGGTAAAGAAGTTGGGCAAAAGATGCATTTCCGAATCTAAGAGCCCTCTAATGGAGATCTTCTCCACCGCAGTCCTAACGGGAATTGTAACTTCTAATTTTAGATCAGACGTTTTAGGTGTGTTATTCATTAAAATCATGAGGAATTGAATCCATCGGGGAAATAATCAAAACGTATTCATCTGTGCAAAGTCCTTATATAACATGGCATTTCTGGGAAAGTGCATTTACACGGAGCTACCGACTCATATCTGTCAAGACCAGACTCACATATTTATCGAGGTAGACCCGCCACTCTTCAGAGCTGCAGTAGACCTGGAAGTCCTCGAAGAAGGAAGGGCTGCCGTTGGTGTCGGGCAGCGAAGGCAGGTGCAGCTCCATGTACAGCAGCTTGTAGATCTTGGAGAGCAGGGTGCGGATGAGAGGGATGAGGAAGGAGTAGGTCTCGGTCTGCTCCCGAATAGACTTGCTCAGGATGCCCTCCAGCTTGCCCAGGAGGTAGCAGGCCTCGTCCTGACTCTCGATCGCCTTCGTCTGCAGGATGGTGTTCAGCTTCGCCGTGGCCATGGCGCACACCTGAGAGCCAGGGTATGATGGGATGGGGGTGGCGAGAAAAAGAGGAAGAGAGAACTGCAACGCTTCCACTCTCAGATGAATCTATAGTCCTGCTCAGAACTCGTCAGCATGGGCTGTTCATCCCAGAACCAGAAAAAAGATTATTGAAGGATCAACCACATTCTACTTTCTGCACTGTACATAACATGATTTTGCAGCCACTTCATGTTATCTTGTGTGGATCTAGAACTGAAACTTGTCAGGTATAAGATCAGATTGCATTGTAACAAAAGTCTCCAAATATTCACAAAACAGTTCTCAATTAAGACCTATCTAATATTGATGGACATTTTTAATTTCAACCATGATTAGACTACTGTAACACCTCAGTGGGCTATCTTCTTAACTAATAAAAAAGGCCCCGAGTTTTGCATCTTGTGCTCTAAGATGCAACATGACCCCCTCAAGATGGATGATCATTATGTCACTTCTTGAGATTCTTGGGCATAAGTGCACGACGCTATGAGAAATGAAGTAAGAGTTTAATCAGACAGGTTTAATGTTATAGTGGGAAACCATACCTGGAGATTCTCCTGTGCCATAAAGCCCAGCAGAAGCCTGATTCCAACCTGTGAGAGCTGCATCCACTGAGTGCCCGAGGAGTACCACACCATCAGACTGTCCATGAGGGTCACGGCCTCCTCCAATACCTAACACACATAGACATGTGACAACCAATGGCTACAACATCATAGGCCTTCCCCTCCCTCCTCACTGTCAATAATGAGCTCTCAAGGTGGATTTCAAACGATTACATTTCCCCTTGTTTTTAAACATCCTACAAAGTATTATGGTAAACCTCGGATGCACCAAAAATCGTTAAGTGCATACGCAAAAACAGCTGTAGTGCATTGCTGGATTTTTCATTGTTTACTGGCATTTTTGTACAGTATGCTTAGAAGGTAAAGAGTCCCCATCAGAACTAAGAATGCTGTACACTGGGGGTGGTGGTGGAGGGGAGTCCCCATTACCTGTAAAGCGCTTTGAGTGGAGTGTCCAGAAAAGCGCTATATAAGTGTAAGCAATTATTATTATTATAATTAATTATTAATGAACTATTAAGTCAGAAACCCAGGTGGGGCATTCATTGTTCAGGCTTACTCACTGAAATGACAATGGAAAGGGGAGTCACAAGAAAATCTACATGGGAGATAGACAACTGAACTGATAATTCCAGAAAAGATCAAAACCTCTGAGGACCATGTGATTGAGTACTTATACCTACATATCGCTTACTAGCAATTCTACAACCATTTGTTTTTTCATATGAAAATTCTGCATTAAAGCATATTTCCTTTAAAATAAAATTGAACAGCAAGAAGGACTTAACTGCTTATGAAAATAGAAACAATATAATAGTCGTGGCTTAAGAATAAGGAAGCAGCCACCCCTAACAAAACTAACCTGTCATCTCAGTTTTTAAAATCTGCATCTGCAGTTTAGCTGACTGCTTGGCATTTTGTATGGTAAGAAAAATATTCTTCCTTTGCCATGTTTTGCATCACATGCATTTCAAGCATGCATGCTAAATATTGAATGTTCACAAAAAGCATTTCCCCAAAAATGTATTTGCCCTCAAACCAATGGCTAACAGTGAAATGCAGTCAGTTAATCTTGCAGCAATTCTCTGACAAAGGACCTCACATCAGCTTTACTGACAAGAGACAAGGCCTGCTGGGTACTCACAAAGTTACTCTTACTAACCTACACTGGATTGGACACCGGATCTAGCACACTAGTTCTACATTCAACCATCAGTTACACAGGATTTCTGTTGAATGTAACATTCAAACATTTACTGTCCACTTGATAAAATAACTACATTTTTCAAAAGCTTACTAGAAGATTTTCTATTCTCTCTCTTAAAGCTGGATCGTGAAATAAACACAGAAATAGAAAAACTGGCATATAAAGTGCTGTACTGCAAACAAACTGAGAAGGAAAAAAGCTTAATAAATGTGCTTTGTCTTGACTTGATTTCATGGCAATAGCTTTCGTAATGCCAAAACTAAACCGAATACGAGCTCTTATATCTATAATTTTATAATTAAAAGTAATTATCTACAAAAAATGGATTATACACCTATCAATCGTCATAAACTTATTTATTAACTTACAAAGCTTAACAAGCTACTCAGATCCTCTCCTGGAAGTGCAGTGCATACATTAAGCTGCAGACTTAGTACAATTGTAAGATTAATGATTTTTATTTCTCAGCAAGTATGACAATAGAATGTCATACATTCTATTGGCCTTCTGGCTGGTTACCTTCTCTGTCCACATAGCTGGGTTCACCAGACCCTCAGCCTGCAAGAAGTCCTGTACAATATGCAGGAGTCGGACAGCATTCTCTGTATGAACAGGCAAGGTAGCTGCAGTAGCTTCTCGGTTGTCGGTCACTGCCCATTCCAGCATCTTTTCTAGAAGACTGAAAGAGAAACCTTGAGTAATCCTTTGTTGCCAGAAGCACTAACAGATCAAAGTGGGAAATAGAACAAATAAAAAACTTTCGTTGTCTTGGATACAGACTACATTTGGTATAATGGCAGAGTTCTAGAGAAAATCAAATCACTTTGCAGCTAATGGTAACCACAGTATCCCATTCTTCAAGATGCAAGACGAACTAGGTCATGGTATAAACTTCACATGGGTATCCCCAGAACAGGAAATCTTGAATTAATACACATGAAGAGGTGTAATCTGACACTGAAATTGTAAATTGAATCCATTTAATAATAATAACTATTTAATATAAAGAACCTACCAACAACATGTATAACATAGTTAAATAACAATAAACACCATTCATTTATCAGAAACAAAAAAAAAAACTTTCATTTGAAGTCCAAGACAAATTAATTCTTAAGAATAAGAGTAAGGGAAGATACTTTAGATAGAATACTTTGAAAGAAGCTAAGAACAATTGTAATGACCTTCCGGAAAACTCTCTCTTATTTTAGGTCAGCAAACAGAATGGCAGGCCAACTTTTGGTCAAGGAGAATCAAGTGGCCCTCAGAGGCTGACAACCCACCCCCCGTGCCCACCACCAGCGGAGTTACGTACCTCAGTTTGATCTCATCTGCGGGCTGCAGCAGCTCGTTGGTGGTGCCCATCTTGGTCAGGGCGGAAAAGACCTGCCCACGGTCCAGCCAGGCGGCATCGTCGGAGCCATCCAGCCCCCGCCACATCACGCAGAGCAGGATCTCGGTCAGCATGCCCGTCAGCTCCTCCTCGACCCTCTGAGGAAACCGCAAGGAAAGAGGAAGACCGCGCTTCACCAGGGTGCCAACTGCAAGGTGAGAAGCTTAGCACTGGCAGGGCGTACAATGACTCGGAATAATTTGATTCACCGGTTTCAGGGAGAAAGATGCATTTAACAACGATGAACTCATGATTTCAACATCTGACATGTTTTCCTACCAGCAGGCATCACCCTCTCTCAACTGTTAGCCCAATGAAGCTAAACAGGGTTGAGCCTGGTTGGTACCTGGATGGGAGACCTCCTGGGAAGCTATGGTTGCTGCTGGAAGTGGTGTTAGTGGGACCAGCGAGGTGCGCCCACCCTGCGGTCTGTGTGAGTCCTAATGCCCCGGTATAGTGGCAGGGACAGTAGTGTAGTAGTGGGCGCCGTCTTTCAGATGAGACGTTAAACCGAGGTCCTGACTCTCAGTGGTCATGAAAGATCCCCGGGCATTTCTCGATAAGAGTAGGGAGTTATCCCATTGTCCAGGCCAAATTTCCCCCCCTCAGCCTAAACCTTGGCCTCCAAATTGTCCCCATGTATGATTGGCTTGCACTTGCCCTGCGATGGACTTACACCCTGTCCACGGTGTACCCTGCCTTGTGCTCGTTGCTTGCCGGGTAGGCTCCGGCTTCCCAGGACACCGTGTGGTATAAAGTGGTTTGGTAAATGACATGACATGACACGACATGACATGTTTTCCCCATTTACCAACAAAATTTGCAAAATATGAACATTGAAGCTGTTGTAACATATCAGGAGCAACAAAGGTTTTTGTAAACTAGTCATTGTCCTCTGCCTCCGGCACTGCTTGGATGGATAACGATACCTAACTGTCGTCCTTTTCCTCTGCTGACACTTGGCCAGACAATCACCATTCTTTCAGAATGCAGAAAAGATGGGATATAAGCCAAAAGCCAAAGTAAGTGTTTACTGTGGCAAAATTGGCCCTTTGGCTTATTTTATAACCACTTATAAGTATTTTATACTTACAGTCCAGAAAAGCACTCTACCAAGTGGACACTTACATAAAAAAAGGACAGACAGGCACTCATGCTTTGTTTGAATGCCAAAAGAGACTTGACTTGAATTGCGGTGTCTTAAACTCACACACTTTGAAAGGCAAAAATAAACATTTTCCTCTGGACTGGAGAACTAGCAAAAAGAGCATGTGTCACTGCACACGCATTCTTCACCTATTTAACAAACCGATTTCTGTCCTAAGCAAATAATGAACTCAAATAATTTGATCTTCAAAGTACTTAATCCTGGACAATGGCCCAAAACATCGCGTTGACCTAATGTTCATCCCTCCAAATGGGTGAAGTTGTTTTCCAGCCTTCTGATATCACCTTATTTAACCCCTTGCCCAAGGAACATCACCACCTTAAAAGCTAACAACACTCGCCTAACATTCGACGCATTTTAGATCCTATGCAAAAGGAATTTATTCCAAATTAAGAGGAGCAGGATAAGAACTAGCACACTGAAAGGCGTACAAAAGGCAGAACTTCTTCTAATTACCTCACTTTATTGCTGGAAAACAATGGAATCTTCTCAGCCAACCAGGAATGCTTACTGAACCATAACTCAGGCCAGGGTCATCAAAATATTAACCTTCAGTCCCTTTATCATCATTATTAATTTCCTCATCATCATCATTAAAGGTAAGTAATAATATTTTGTGCTGTTATGTTTACTAATACTAAGATTTGCTGTCTTACGACAGTAAATCATCAAAAAGTAGTATTTATTAACAGGACCAGGCTATCAGTGTGTCGAGGAGTTGGAAAATAAAGACTGAGGGCTTATCACAACCTTTGGAAGAGTGCTATTCTATATCTATATCTTTTTTCATTAATTCAACACTTACTTCCTTACTTACATCCCAGCTAAAAAAACCTTGCATCCCAGCTTTGCTGCATGAGTATTCAGTATTTTTTTCTTTCAGATCTTCTGCTGAGTAGTTAACATGCTTAAGCCCACAGCTATCACAGCAGTGTGAGCCCACCTCTGCCACTTCATTGTTAACCAGCAGCACCTGCTGATCTGCTAATTGTTAAAGCAGACCCACCACTGTAGCTGGTTTGGGACAATCTAATTCTTTCAAGTTCTTAGCGATTGGTGAAGCCACAACAAATAAGCATGTTTTTGTATTACTGCCATCGTGGAATGATCACAAACACAAATGAAGTTAAAAGGTTAAAAAGTTTATCCAAATATACTACTCAAGTAATCTAGTAAACACTAAACCCCTAACAGGAAGATTTTAAAAGTCAAATGGTTGGGGTTTTTCTTTAGATTTCAATTGTGAGAGCTTTTCTTGTTAGATTTGTGGCAGGCCTGTAGTGCAATCATGACAAAACCCTTTCAGGGAAGGTTTACTAAAACAAAAGTAATCTTCACAGCTCTTAAAACGTTTCATTCTTTAGTCTTCAAACTTTTTTCATGACATATTGCTTGGGCAGAGCAGGTAACTCTTAACTCAAAGCACTTTTCTCACTGAGAACAACGTGTCTGAACCACATTTTCTTTCAGACTCAGTCTGCTCACCTTGGGCGACAGCATAGCACAAGGAAACCTGTAACAAAAACCACGGCCCCGGAACACCCCCTCCTTTTCCCAGTTACCTCGGCACTTGCAAAGGATTCATTCAAGGAGAAGTCGTCGGTGAAAATGAAGCTGTCGTCCATAAAGCTGGATGTCTCTCTTTCCGCCTGGAGGCCGGGGAAAGGCCTAGAGGTCTCCAGTGGCGAGGGGGTGCTTGGCATGCTCCCAGGAGTTTGACTGCCGCTGTCCACCTGCTCGTACAAGTGCGTCCTGGACAAATCTAAACTCAGCCCTCCTGCTTTAGAGGCCCACGGCTTTGTGGTAGCTTCCGCTGGGGTGTCCAGAGAATCAAGATCCCCATTATCCAACGACTGGCTCAAACTATCAATGGATTTGTTGTCAGCCAAGCTATGGCCTTCAACCCCATTCTTGTCATCCTCTAACCTTCCGTGAACATCTCCGGATCCTTTTTTCTCCAAGAGGGAGCTGGACACGCTGACCCTGTTCTTGGTGAAATCCAGGCTGCTCGTACTCGCAGTGTCCGCTTTATTGCTGCTGCTGTTGCTGCCTTCCTGGGCCTCACTACTGTCCCGAAGAAACAGCTTGACCAGAGTCTCCTGCCAGCCGAGCTGTCTGGAAATCTGCTGGGCCGCATCCTGCTGCGACTGTAGCAGCTGGTAAAGCTTTGAAAGGGAGGACAAAAGACACGTCAGGGGGATTTCTAATTCCAGAGTAAGTCCATTATGTAGAGTGGGAAAGGAAACGTCTGAAGTAAAAGCACATTTAGCCAAAATGATCTAGAAACAGAGATATCATATTATGTATATGTTTAAGAATTAGAAGAAGGAATTCTAAGTCTTAAAAATCAATCATGGGTTAATCCATCAAGAACGAAACATGGACGTATATTATGCTGTAATGAGAATGCATTGAAGCAGGACTTCCTTTCCTAGCACTAGATGGAGTCCTTGTTCTACCCAAACTTGAGCTTAATACATCTGCTGGAGACAGACAAAAATCCCAGACAAAAATTATTCTAACATGGCAGCAGTCTGTACTCTGTAGCTTGTAACTTGGAATTCAAAAAGTGGAGATTTTTAGCAGCAGGTAGGAGGACTATTTCAATGATAACAGCTCGAGATGTGCATATTTTTCTAGATTCAAAATTGGCTTACAAAAATCTCAATTTACAAAAACCAACTTAAAGTTCTAATTTATTCTTGAAAATTTTAAAATAACAGCCACCAGTGATGATGGTAATATGGAAAAAAAAGTAAATTGATTTCAGATATAAAAATGAACCTCACATGCCGCCTTTCCAAAAGTATTCAACCCCTACCAATAATATCAAATTTCGATGACTTACAAATAACGTCCGCAATTTTTCCAAAGTTCTTTCAGTTCTAACATGTTTGCTGGGATCAGCTGATGAATTGCAATCAGTAAGTCTCACTATAACATTTCTATTTCTAGACTCAAGTCAGGGCTTTGACCGGGCTTAGTCAAGAACATCAATACTGTTCTTGCAAAACCACTCCAGTGCGGTTTGGCCTTGTACTTTCAGGACGTTTTGCTAAAATGTATATTTTCCACACAGTTTTAGATATTTTTGCTGACTCAGGCAGGCTAGTCACTCGGATCTGCTGTACTTTGCTCAGTCATCACTCTGCTTCAGACGCATTCCCATAACGTCATACTGAGACCACCGTGCTTGACAGATGGTGATGTGCTGCCTGCCTGTCTGGCACAAGACTAACAGATTGCATTTAGACCTAAAAGTTCATTTGATATATTAAGTGTGACCATAGCCAGCAGCTATATCACCCTGCAGCTCTCAACTGGCTACCCACTGAAGCTAAGCAGGGTTGAGCCTGGACAGTTCCTGGATGGGAGACCTCCTGGGTAGCTATGGTTGCTGCTGGAAGTAGTGGGACCAGTGAGGGGTGCCCACCCTGCTGTCTGTGTTTGTCCTAATGCCCCGGTATAGTGGTGGGGACACTATACTGTAGTGGGCGCCGTCTTTCAGATGAGACGTTAAACCGAGGTCCTGACTCTCAGTGGTCATTCAAGATCCCCGGGCATTTCTCGATAAGTCCGGGCCAAATTTCCCCAGGTATGACTGGCTTGCACTTGCCCTGCAATGGACTGGCGCCCCCTCCAGGGTGTACCCTGCCTTGCGCTCGTTGCTTGCTGGGTAGGCTCCGGTGTCACCATGACCCTCACCAGGAAAAGCGTAAGTGAAAATGGATGGATGGATGGAAGGAAGTGTGACCATAAGCTCATCTGTCACATCTACAGTATATCTCATAAGAGATTTAAGAGGAGACTTCTTCATTAATGGCTTCTTTTGTGCCAGTCCCCCTTAGGCCAGGGCTTTGTAGGGACCAGCAGTGACCCCTCCATTTCACCACGATCCTGTTTCCTTTTTGCCACTCAGCTCAGTTTGGAAAGGCAGTTTTTTTGACTGCCTGATTACACATCCCACTGTTTGACTAAGTGTTATGATGCATTCACCTTTTTAATGATAAACAACGCTGTACGTAAAGGGATAAGCAACCTTCTCCTGATCTGTGCCTCTCTGACTTCTTTTGAAAGACAGTGGTTTGAAGTATCATTATGCAAGTTGTGTCCTGAAAGGCAACACCTAACTGAAGGAATGCACAGTGACACGATTTACTCTGATTTAAGCTTGATTACACACACAGAGATCATTACCCTAATTTGTTGACCTTTCACACTATTCCTTTGCACCTTAACTGATTTAGGGTTGCCATTCAAATGGTAATCAAAGGGGTTAAATGCTTAAGCCACTGAGAATCTTCTGATCTTTGTTAAAAATCTATGTTGTAGATTTATTAGTTTAGAGTAGATTGTAAAGATACTAAACGTAAAGTCTTATTTGAAAGTGTTGTAATTGCAAGAACAGACGGCAGTCGTTGCAGGGGAAATACTTTTACAAGCATGTGCTTGTCTTCAAAATCTTCAAAACAGTAAAAATAGTGGCTTCCGCCCCCCCTCATTTAATAATAATATACAATATTTTCACAAAAAATAGTATTAATCACGGCCTTGATATGTGTTGCATATTAATAAAGATGCTATTACCAATGACACAACTACTGTCCTTTAATAATTCAGTCTTTTTACAGGCATCTTTTTTTCACTTTTGTTGTTTCATGCCACAAATTACGCTTCAGAATTCTTTATCTCAGGAATATGTTTGAACTAACCATAACCCTCACTGCTACATGATTGATCAGAAATAAATGGAGTTAACCTGCAACTTTCAGCATGTATTTCTTTACTGGCAGATTTATTCAGCACTTCCTAATCATCTGATAATCTATTTGAAGATCACTTGCTACTAAAACTGGAACTAATTTAGTTACTGTATTAACCTTGCTTTTTACCTCTCCATTACCTCCTAACGTATTACTAAGACAGCTAATTTTTTTTTTCCATAGAGGGCTCTTCAATATATTTTTTTATGAAAAATGTACCACACTTGATGTTGGCAGCGAAGTTACTCACCTTTTTGCACACTAGTAATCGAATGTTAAGTCCTGCTTTGTGGGTCAAGTGCACAACAGACATGAGATCTTTATAGTTCACCACTGGGTCTAAAAATAAATAAATACAAAAGAATATCTTCAGTAACCTAACAAAATAGGTCAGCATTTAACCTCAGTAGTTATATCGGAAATTGCCTTACCACAATATAACCTACAAACGTCACTGACACAGTTGAACACACATTACAAAACACAACTAGGCATCATCTAAGGGTATGATGCTTATGGTTATCTTTGTCTTTAGCAATGACCAAAACTCCCTACTGAAAGGAAATGAGGGACAAAATAGAAATGTCAAGACATGTTACTCTGCACAGGAGAGTCCCTATTGCAAGACTAGTTGCTTAAACTTCTGACCACAGGTTTACAGTACTTATGAGGACAATAAAAAAATAAAAAAAACCTTATATCATTTCATTTTTTGAGATCTAGCAATAATTATATATACCTATTTACATGTGGATATATTTAGAAAAAAGTATTTAAACTTTAAAGAGATGTAATTTTCTACAAATCTTTACCATTTCATAATTTAATGTTTACTGTTAAATAGAACAGTTCAGCAAACAACATGAAATTTAAATCTGTAGTTTTGGAAATAGAAAATGCTACTTCATATTTTGGTGACAGTGTACATTATATATGGCATATATGAATATTCATTTTGACTTTTCACAGGGTTATAAAGTAGAACAATATCAAGTGGGACAATCAAAGGATTCTAATTTTCACACATTTCTCCCAGGTAAGCAACCACATACAGCTAATTAACCCTTAATAGGGCTCATTAACTCAGTAACCATAAGCCAGGTGTTTTCTTGAAAAGGAAAGAACTGAAAACTAATTTAAATGTGCCACTAAAACAACTATTTGCTTCAAGAAATTATACTTCCATGACGAGGTTGTATCACATTTATTTTGCAGTTTGTTTTTAAAGAATTACCCGCATTTGAAATCTTAGAGCTGCCCAGAATAGTACCAGAACAGAAGAGGTTTCCTCTTTCAGCTTACCTGAGGTGAGCACCTGGTTCAAAAGGTTTTTAATAAGCGAGACGGTAATGGGAATTTCATT